GAATTGATGCTTTTGAACTGTGATGTTGGAGAAGGCTCTTGAGAGTTCCTTGGCCTGCAAGGAGATCAAACCAGTCAATCCTGAAGGAAATCAGTCCTGAAAATTCATTGGAAGGACTAATGCTGAAGCTGAAGGTCCAATACTTTGGATACAAAGAGTTGACTCATTAGAAAAGACCCTGATGAAGGCAGGAGGAGAAGGGGACGACAGAGTATAATAAGATGGTTGGATGGCATCACCGACACAATGGACATGAGTTTGCGCAAGCTCCGGGAGATGGTGAAGGACAGGGATGCCTGGTGTGCTGCAGTCCATGGGGTCACAAGGAGTCGGATACGACCGAGCAACTGAGCAACAACATACATGCCTCTTGCCAGAAAATTGTAGAAGAGAGATAAGTATGAAATCGCCATTCAGAAATGCCAGCATTAAACTTTGGGTGGAGCTGGTTTTTTTTTTGGCTGTGCTGAGTGGCTTGCCGGATCTCAGTTCACCGACCAATGACTGAACCTGGGTCACATCACTGAAAGCTGGCAATCCTAACCACTAGGCAATCCCAACCACTAGGCCAACAGGAAACTCCTATTTTTCAGGTAGTGGGGTTTCTTCCAAATTATTCTGTGTGGAAAAATTACACACAGACTGCAATCACATAAGAAAATAGAAAATCACAAAAGAAAATGCAATCACATAAGAAAACAGACTCATGTGAATCATCTAAAGATACGATGTGAATCTAAATCTAAATCACATCTAAATCATACCTTTAAATGTGAATCATCTAAAGGTATGATTTCAATACCTTTAGACCATGAAATTTCTGCACCTGGTTTTATGTCCCTGGATATGTTCCATTGTCTACTAGTTTACAGTGTATGGGAGCTTGAATAGAATTTGCACCCTACTGTTCTGTGAAAATTGTATAAATCTTGTGTGTTAGTCATTTAGTTGTGTCCAACTCTTTGCAACCCTGTGGATTGTAGCTTACCAGGCTCCTCTGCCCATGGAATTCTCCAGGTAAGAATACTGGAGTGGGTTGCCATTTCTTTCTGCTGGGGATCCTCCCAACTCAAGAATCGAACCCGGTTCTCTTGCATTGTAGGTAGATTCTTTTAATTATATTGAATTGGTTCATAATGCTTTTCAGGTCTCCTATATCCTTCTATTTTTCTGTATATTCATTCTAATAAGTTTTAAGAGTTTGATAATGAAACTCCAACTAAAAATCTTAATTTCTCTACTTAAAAAATTGAAATTTATAGTGGAACTATATGTAATTTTGTTCTGTATTTTCCAAGTCTCCTATAAATGTGTTACTATATTTTCATAATTTAAAAAATAAAAAAAAGAAAAAAGAAAAATACAATCACAAATTTGATTACTTTATAGATGACTTTTCCCCCACTTTGTAATATATATATATATATATTTCATAAGCATATATTTCTTTTTTGTTATTTATTTTATGCTGGAGTATAGCCAATTAACAGTATTGTGATAGTTCCAGGTGTACAACAAAGTGACCTAGTCATACATATCCATGTATCCATTGTAATATATTTTTAAACATCCCTCTGTGTCATGGCGAAGGCAATGGCACCCCACTCCAGTACTCTTGCCTGGAAAATCCCATGGTTGGAAGAGCCTGGTAGGCTGTAGTCCATGGGGTCACGAGGATACGGACACAACTGAGCGACTTCACTTTCACTTTTCACTTTCATGCATTGGAGAAGGAAATGGCAACCCACTCGAGTGTTCTCGCCTGGAGAATCCCAGGGACTGTGGAGCCTGGTGGGCTGCCAACTATGCGGTCTCACAGAGTTAGACACCACTGAAGCGACTTAGCAGCTGTGTCATGGGCTAGCTATCCTTTTACATTTTTACTGACTGCACAATATCTCATTCTATGGAAAAACCATAATTTATTCCACCACCCCTATTGTTTAGATTGCTTTGAGGATCTCATTTCTAACAAATCATGCACATCACAGGTTGAGTCCTCCAGAAATGGACAGAAATGCCATTTGAAGCATAAGATAGTTATCCAGGACTGCCGCCAGGGAAGTGAAGAGGGAAGGAGCAGGAATGGGTGAGGGAGAAGTTGAACTCTGACATAGGCTGACAGCCTCAATAGACCTTACTTACATAGAAAGGGCTTCATCAGAGTTGTCCCGAATTGGGTGGAAATGACTGGACTTTTTATGACTGCAAGTCCCTGGGGCCACTTTCAGTGGGCATGGCCTCAGGTGAGGCTGCGCTCTCAGCCAAGGTGGACTTCTAAAGAGAGATTTGGCTAGTGCCTCTATGTGTCCACTGAGGATGTGCCTTTTAGTCATGTAGCTTCACCTGTATCCTTAGGATAAATTCTCAGAAGTAGAATTGCTGCAGTAGAGCAAGTCTGTTTTAAAAACTTTTAATATCTATTGCCAAATTACCTTCCAGAAAGATGGTCACTTTCTCCTATCAACAGTTCATTTCCTCACTAATGTATAAGAACATGACAATTGTAGTCTTTCGTGTTTTTAAATATTGAAAGGTACTCCAAATACTGTTGGAAAAAATATTTATGATGTTTTGTCATTATGAATTGTATTTTTAAGTCCTAAGGCAGCTTACCTTTCTCTCTAGAGCTGTATAAACTACTCCAGAAGGATAAAACAGTGACTGATAGAAGGCAAAGAATTGGATTTGGGTCTTCTGAATTGCAAATTTGCAACATTAGAGACAGAAATGGCTGGTGCCTGAGCTGACTTGAAACAGAATTTGCAGTACCCTATAGCTCTTTCCATGTGAGTATTTGAGTAAACAAATGAAATTCCCACTTATCAGGAAAAATCCATATTTGACACACTATTGATAGAGATGAATGGGAAATAATAATCATTTATTAAGTGCCCACTCGATGCCAAGCAATGCCCTGGGCTTTTACATACACCATCATAATTTTAATTCTCACAAGAAACATTTGAAGTGGTTATTCTCATCACATTTTCAGGTGAGCAAATTGAAGCTCAGAGAATTTGGTAACTTGGTAACCTCAGTCATCCAGATTCCCAAGCTTGTGCACTTCTTGCCATCCTGGGCTGCTTCCCCCATCACTGAAAGTCAACTGACATAGCAGTAGCTTTAAGTGGCATAATATATAAATATATATATATATATATATACCTATATACATATATATGTATAACTGTAGTAATAGTAATTCTCATGAAGCTTGCAGAATGTCTGTCTTTCTGTTGGTTTGGAAGCCCATAGGATTCACTGTCTAAAATTTTTGTATCACTTATGATACACAGCACATTGCATATATAAGGTGCTTGCTAAATATTTAATATTGGGTTGGCTAAAAGTTTATTTGGGTCTTTCCATAAGATATTATGAAAAAACCCAAACGAACTTTTTGGCTAAGGTCTTAAGTAGCCAGAAAGACATTTCCTTCTAGTTTCTTTAGTCCTTTCATCCTCATTTTGGGTTTGTTCTGATCATGGTGTTGTCAGGAGCAAGGAGATGATCCAGCCAATGGTTTTTCACTTTAGCAGGAACTGGTGAATTCTTCTGAACAGACCCACTGATTACAGACAATGCCAGTGAAGAAAAGGTTGGATGAAAATAAGCATAACAAATAAACACCATCCTCTAGAAGTCACCCAAATCTGGAAGGATGCTGGTGAAATCTTTATTCAAAAGAGTAAATGAGTTTAATCCCGCCTTTAGGTCTAATGTCTAGGTAACAGGAAATACTGAGGGAAGAGAAATATTGTCAAGACACCCAAAAAAGAGCCATCAGACAAAACTAGAAGGCTGACTGGTTTCCTTAAGGCAATGTCCTTCTAAAACAGGGGGTGGATGGTGGAGTGGGAGAGAAGTAAAAAGCTATTCTAGTCTAAAAAAATAGAGGTAACCAAAGGTAATATGTGGTTATTGTTTGGGTTCTGGTCTAAGTCAGCGGTAAAAAGACATTTTGGAAACCATTGGAGGAATGTGAGCCTGGACTGGGTGTAGATTAATACTAAGTGATTATGGTTAGCTTTAGGTTAAGTGTGAAAATGATAATATGCAGAAAAGTGTTTTTTAAAGAACTAGATGTCCGTTATGCTATCTATGGGTGAAATATAATTCTCTAAGTAGGAAATATATCTTCAGTAGAAAAGGTGATGAAGTAAATAGGGCAAAAATAGATTTTAGTTATTCATTATGCTAGTCTCTTTGCTCTTTGAGGTCGTTTTTCATCATATAGAGTAAACGATTCAGCAGGAAGAAAAATAAAAAGGATCAAGAACTCATCTTGATCGTCATCCAGCCGTGACACCATCAGTGTTTGGCCGGGATAGGGCTTCAAGAGCTTGAAGTGAGGTTCCAGGGAGCCTAGACAGATAAGCAGGTTCCTTTCCGGAGATCTGATTTGAGTATGAAAAGAATCCACATAAGCCAGCCTTTGAGCCTCCTACCCTCCAGACCTGAGCACCTACCCAGGGCCCCTGCGGATGGTGAATGACGCATCACCTTACTGCTCCGGGCCTGTTCCCTAACCACGCAGAGTGGCGGGTTTGACGCTCAGGGTAGGGGCTGACTTTCTTTTCCACGCGGACCCTTCGCGGAGGGCTGGAGTGGCAAGTACCTTCCTCCTCGCCCACCTGGAAGCCAAGGGGAGCTGGGAGGGCCCAGGCTGGGGGCAATGGGCCGCACGTGCCTAGGCCAGTACCCTCACCTGCCGCCAGGAGGGCCCGGGCCACGGAAGGGGGCGGAGACCGGGGAGAGGGGCTGTCCGCACCTGGCGGCGGGGCGGGCGCGCGGCGGGCTCTGCCGGAGCGGGAGCAGGTGAGAGCGGCTGGCCAGGCCGAGCTCCACCGCGGGGGACGTCTCTTGGCCGGGAAAGGTGCAATTGTGTGCAGCTATTCCTGGTATGTCAGGCGGGCCGGGCGGCCGCGAGCGGTGGGGGCGCCGCTTCCCTGGGCCCCTGGAGAGGGAAGGCGGCCAGGCGGGCGGAGGCGAGAAGGATGCGGACAGGATGCGGGCGCAGGGGCGCCTCCCCTCCGGGGGGAGGGTGGGGGCCCGCGGTCCGGCGGGCGGCGCGGGAGCGGGAGCGTGGCCCGGGCCACGGCCTCCGGGAGGACGGTGGCATCCCCCAGCCCAGACTGTCCGACCACAAAGGCGGCTGCGGCCGGGAGCCCCGGGGCGCCGTGGGGGTGGGGGAGCGGAGGGGGTACGGAAGCGGCGACTGGGCGGCCGCGGGGTGGGCCGGGGCGGGGCATTCCGGGAGGGCGGCGGCCGCGCTGCGACTTTTGAAGTAGAAACAGCCTTCGGGTCTGGTGCCGCGCGCCTCCTCCGGTCGCCCTCCCCGCCTCCCGCGCTCTGTCCGGTCCCCGCGGCGTTTTCGGTCCCCGCGGCGTTTTCGGGAGTTTGGAGAAAGCCACGTCTTCAAGTTCTTGTGGTTCGAAACTTTGCCGAAGTTTCAACAACTTCGCAACAAAGGGAAAGAGACGACGTGCCCCGGCGTCTTGCAGCCGGAGAGAGGACGGGGCATCGGGCCGGTCGTGCGCCGCACCGCCGCCTTTCTGCGCACCCACCACCTCTCTCTCCCCCTAGTTCTGGAAGGGATGGAGGAGGCGGAGGCCGATTGCGCCCTGGCGTTCGCCGAGGCCCAGCGATGGGTGGAGGTGAGTGCCTTTTCTCCTCTCCTTTCCGCACGAGTTGGCTGCTCCCGCCACTCGACTTTCAGCCGTCTCCCCGGACCTTCTCGGGCGCGGCGCGTCAGGCAGGTTCGCGCCGTAGTTCGGGGGACTTTCCGAGTTCCGTGTCTCTTATCACTAACGTCCAGCGAAGCTTAGCGCCGCCCTCCCCACATCTGTTTCCCCGAGTTTCCCCGGAGCGCCTCTGCCACGGCCCGGCGGGGTTTGGGGACCGCGCATCCCTGCGGACCATCCCACGTCCGCTCCAGGACGCCACGGACGTCTCTGCAGGGCGGAGACGGCTCAGGGTCCTCGGGTGCCTTTTTCCGGGGGTGGGTAGAAATGGAAACGCCTGCAATACACCAGCTTGGGCAGTACTGTGTGCCGGGTGGGAGGGCGGATGGAGGACCGTAAGACACCTGTGGCGCCGCTGGAGCGATGCTTTCTCGGAGGTAGCTTCCGGAGCCCAGGATATGTGTGTTAGGGCGCGTAGGCTTTCCTAAGTCGGTATTGATAAGACTATGATCTCCTGAAATCACTTACTCAAGGGTGGTTATTTACCCAGCTATGCCTCAAGGAGATTTTCCATTCTCGTCTTTGCCTTTAAAAGGAGACGGTCTCTTGGAAGATCCAGGATCAGCGCTTTAGGGTTACTTCTGTCTGTGAAAAGTTAACACCAGGTCTTCTAGCCGTTATCTTTTTGGATGTCAAAGATGACTTTTATAAAGATGCTGAAGAAGTTTTCCGAGCAGATGTGAAATCAGGAATCACTGCTTGTTAGAGAAGTGTTGTCTTTACCAGCTTGGCAGTTATTTAGGGGTTATTGATACCAGGTGCTGGGCTATTCAACGTATTTAAATATTCAAATTAGGATTAAAGAGTTTTCCATGGGGAAAAACAGCACATTCAAGAATCCCAAAGCAAACAGTACCTTAATTCTTCTTAAAGAATTAAATATATGTATGAGGGAAAAAAAGAATAAGCTTTAAATGTTACGGTTTTCACACTAAAGGAAAGTGAATGTATCTCTACCACCTAGCCAGTGGGTGGGGGGCATCTAAGAAATTAGCTTTGCCATTTTTTTGTACTGAAACTTTGAGCTGGTTTGAAGGTGACCTAAAGGTGTGAGGCGAGGGCATGGGGAGGTTGGGAGAAGCATAAACACTGTATTCTGAATTGAAATGAGAGTGGAAAAATTCCAGCAATGTAGTTAAGAGAAGTAACTTCCCCCATTCATAAACCTTGACAAGTCAAGCCTTCCAAAGGTAATTTTCCATTAGCAGTATGTGTACTGCATAATTTTAGAAGCTAAACTTGCCCTTCTGTGTTTGAGTGTTGGGGATGTAGAGAGGGAGAAGGGAAGAAATATGGGATACATTTTTGGCCAGACAGGGCTCCAGGGTGGAGGTTGCACCTGCAAGTTCAGCGTTTGCTTATTGATGATTTCACATCCTTTCCTTTTTTAGTATACAGATTTTGAGATTGCAACATTCCTGTTTTGGTGATAACTTGCTTGTAATTGGATAAGATTTCTGTGAGAAATTTGTAATAAACTTTGGGGAGATGTGTTGTGATAAAAGGTATCTCATGTACATGGTGAATATACTCATCTCCCTAACCCCCATCCCACTCTCCCAAAAGTGTTTGTCAGCAATGATTTGGTAACTTTGTAAAGTGTTTTGTTCCTCATTAGCAGAATCTTTTTAAAGGCTTTGCCTTAGAATTTGAATGTGGTTAACTCTTAGGAAATTAAAATTGACTTCTTTTTCTAGTGCCCCAGGGAGCAAGGCAGTACATTCACTGAAGATATGTGAATAATTTATATATTCACCTATACTTTTGGTGTACTGGGGACTTCCACGTGACAGCTTAGTGTTCGGTGCTGGGTTTATGTATGTCTTCAGTTAGTGTCCGAATGTATCCCTCTTAGCTTTGTCTTTACAACCAGAGCACATATTTTATTTTATTTTATTTTATTTTTCATTTATTTTTATTAGTTGGGGGCTAATTACTTTACAGCATTGCAGTGGGTTTTGTCGTACATTGACATGAATCAGCCATGGAGTTACATGTATTCCCCATCCCGATCCCCCCTCCCACCTCCCTCTCCACCCGATTCCTCTGGGTCTTCCCAGTGCACCAGGCCCGAGCACTTGTCTCATGCATCCCACATGGGCTGGTGATCTGTTTCACCCTAGATAATATACATGTTTCGATGCTGTTCTCTTGAAACATCCCACCCTCACCTTCTCCCACAGAGTCCAAAAGTCTGTTCTGTACATCTGTGTCTCTTTTTCTGTTTTGCATATAGGGTTATCATTACCATCGTTCTAAATTCCATATATATGTGTTAGTATGCTGTAATGTTCTTTATCTTTCTGGCTTACTTCACTTTGTATAATGGGCTCCAGTTTCATCCATCTCATTAGAACGGATTCAAATGAATTCTTTTTAATGGCTGAGTAATATTCCATGGTGTATATGTACCACAGCTTCCTTATTCATTCGTCTGCTGATGGGCATCTAGGTTGCTTCCATGTCCTGGCTATTATAAACAGTCAGAGCACATATTTTAAAATATTGCTCTTGGCGAAAGAAGCAGGATGAGTGACTGCCTCATTGCTACAACATCTTAACTCTGAGAACCCCTAATTTGAAAATAAAATATTGATTGCAATGTATATAAAGTATTTTGGAAAGTGAGGAAGATTATAGTGTAAATCTTTCTCCTGCTGACTAATATTCTTGCTCTGTTTTTCAATTTCTGTTATACTTTACATACCCTGAAGCATAAATGTTTCATTCATATATATGCATGTTTTATGTGTATATACATAATGCACACATATGAACATATGTATTATGTAGATTATGCCATATACATGAATTTATGTATATATACACATAAAACACAAATAAATATCTCCTTGATATATTATATGCTATCATATAGTGGGCTTCCCTGGTGGTTCAGTGGTAAAGAATCTGCTGCTGGTGCAGGAGTCACAGGTTTGATCCTCTGGAGGAGGAAGGGGCAACTCACTCCAGTATTCTTGCCTGGGAAATCCCATGGACAGAAGAGCCTGGTGGACTGCAGTCCAAGGAGTTGCGGAAGAGTTAGACATGACTTAGCGACTAAACAGCAGCAATAATACTATAATATACATATTATATGTGTTGTATGTAATATGACCTAATTAGCTACCTTTATTTTCAGCTGCAGCTTTGACCAGCCCAAGGTCAAAAGACTCCAATAACCTTGTAAATTTTTGAAAGATGACCAGAGTCCATGCTGGTATGTCCTTGCCATTTCCTTGCTCCCATCAGCGATTTTAAATAACTAATGTATTACTTCCGCAACCAAAATTAAAATCATTTTTGTTTCGGGAGGAAGAGGAGAAGGGGTAAGGTGAGGACTAGTGCTTGTTATTCTGCCAGTTTTTGTCATTTTATGAATCTTTATTTCAAATTGTTCCTTGCTATTTAAAAGTGTATATATACTTCTGCTTAGTTTCATATTTGAAATAAAAACAAATTAGGAACATAACCTTCTGAGATAATTCAACATCATGATATTGGATTATTATCTGGTTGAAAATGCAGTTTGGAATATTAATAATCTAGCAAGCTAGTTTATGATTAAACAGTCGTTGAAAGCCAAATAACGTAATGGTTTGAAGGAAATGGCAAAGGGGAAGCTTGATTCTAGCAAGGTCATGGAGTGGGAGAGGAAATGGTAGAAAATGCAGCCCAGACCCTCTAATTTTAGTCCTTTTCTGCAGCACCTTTTAATTTTCTGTACCAAATAGTTGCCTCTGTCTTTCTGTTTGGGGCGGCGGGGGGGGTGGGGGCGGGGAGAGGAAGCATTAAAAAACCTGTAATAAACAGACAAAATACCAATGAGATTGAAAATGAACATTATTGCTCACTGCATTGGTTGGTTACCCATTTCCAGTCTGTGACTTTCATGTTCCTATCTAGGTTGAGGTTTAAATACAGTAGTAATTTTTATGACTGGAGCAGAACAGGCTAGTTTAATCCCACACCTTCCTGCTCCCCTGCCAGGCCTGTTATCTCTGGGTTTGATATTTTCAGTATCACTGTCACCCTGTGGAAGGACCAAAGAGATGCCAATTGAGCTCATTTTCCTGCCTGGCACCAGGATATGAATCCTTCCCCAGTTACTTCCAGCTGATCTGTTTCTCCACCTGCCCATTTCTGTCCTTTAGGGATCGTGTGCTGGTCATCACTTTTGTTTGCATTTAGTGCTAAATTTTTAAAGTATTGCATTCTGTGGGTCTCCCACTGATAGTTACATAATTCGCCTAAGTGATTTCCCTTTTTTTCTCTGTAAACCATTTCCCTTGTATTGGTGGTTTCCCACCTGTGGCCTGGTGTGAAAGGATTTGCTGAGTGCACTTGAGTCCTCGGTGCAGAGTAGAGTTGTCTGCAGATGAAACAAAGGTTCTCATGATTTGTACTGTTGCTTTTCAGATGGATGTAAAGTGATGAAAATCTTAACTGAATTCATAGAAGCTTTTCTGGTAATAATATATGGTTTCAATGGACAGATATTAAACTTGAAAAGATTCTGATGGTAAAAATTTGTTTAAAATTTTAAATGTTAGAAAGCAGTTCTTATTGTGGCTGTTGAAACTAGAATTAGTTTTTCAGAACATAACTTGATTTTGATTTTTCTTTTCTGTGGAGGCATGAAAAGATTTTTAAGTCCGCATATACATTAAGCTGTGAAATGCAGCTTCCACAGCCCTTTACATTCTGGTCTGTGGCTTTATGTCTTTGTTTTTGCTCATTTTGTCTGTTACTATTTACCGCCAGATAGCATAGAGATTAAGAGCACAGATTTATACATTTATCCCCAGAACTTATTTATCTTACAACTAGAAGTTTGTACCTTTTGACCACTTTCCTCCAATTCAGGATAACTATAATTAACATTGCTGTATAGCATATTTGAAAGTTGTTAA